CGAAAATTTCATAAAATTCTAATTTATAAGGTGTTCCCATTTTTTCCCATAAGTTAGTAGAAAGATGTATTGACCAGTCCCAATATGTCTTTGTTCTTCTAACCTTTCCTGTGACAGTCACTCTCGCTTCACTCTCTTCCTTGGGGATGTTGAGGCTGTCACCATTTGTGTGACTGCCTGGACGTGACCCTGCCTGGCATCATTCACACCTTCCTTCCGTGGTTTTCTCCATAGCTGTTCCAGCCCTGAACTCGCCAGCATATTCAGGATCACCTCACCTCATTCTTCCACTGAGCTCCCTGATTGAAACAGCAAAGAGGAGGATCATCTAACTATTTGAGAGGTTGGTTTTCTGTCTTCTGACTCAGCTAAGGATGAGTAGAGTTAAAATTCCTTCCTCCCCATTTGTGCAACCCTTTGGAATCTTACTTGCCCCAAAGTACAGATTGTGCTTGCCCTGAAAATTCGTCAACACTTGATACTTTAACTTTTGAAAAAATGTTTTTTTTTTCCTGAGGGGAAAATCAGTTATCATTTTGATATAAAAGTTAAATTTCCCTGATTATTAGTTAGATTAAGCAGTTTGGGATTATTTTAGTTGCTATTCTTGTGTTGGGATAAAATATCCAGCATCCACAAGTTAAAGGAAGAAAGATTTATTTCATCCACAGTCAGCTGACTCCAAGGTAAGGTGGCATGGTAGAGGGTCTCACAGAGGGAAACAGTTCATGGTGTGGCAGGCAGAAAGGCAGCGAAGCAGCAGTCAGCAGCAGCAGGCCTGCCTTCTTTCTGTCCCTTTATATTCCATGCAGGCTATAAGCCTATGGTTTGCTGCCACCCACACGGGGATGTAAATGTCCATTAACCACACCCTTAATCCCACTATCCCACTCTTTTTTAAATATCATTATTTAGGGCCAACCAAATAGCTGAATGGATTAAAGCGCCTGCAAGCAGGTACAGGAGCCAGGGGCTCGATCCCAGGCCTGCAGTGCTGGCCCCGCCCCTGGGGCACACTGAGATGGCTATTGAGACTGGGCGTAGTGGCACATGCATGTAATCCCAGCTCATGGGAGGCTGTAAACAGGCAAATCACTATGAGTCTGATCTAGTAGTGAGACCCTGAACACCCTGTAGACCCTTCCCTAAAATACAAACAAATGAACAAACAAAAAGAAATCATTATTTGGTATAGGGTCTCATTATGCAGCTCAGACTCATAATGATCCTCCTGTCTCAGCCTTCTCAGCACTGGAATTACGGGCATACGCCACCATGCTGGGTTTCAGTGGCCGGCTCAGTATGGGGCTGGCACAGCATGCAGTACCAAGGATCAAACCTGAGTCCTTGAGCTTGCCAGGCAGGCACTTAGGCCACCAAGCTATCTCCCTGCCAGTATCCTACTCTTAATCCACACTCACGCATTCTAATCCAGCCTTCAAAACTTCCCACCTATGACCATGTGAAGCTTTTTTTTTCAGTTGGATAGGACATCTAGATACAAACCATAGAAGTTGTTTACTGTTGATAATTACTGCAATGTGAATAATCTTTATTCTTACCCAGTTTTAAATTTGACTGCCTTTTCTGTAGTGTTGTACATACACCTGCTATTGATACTTTGTATGTTATGTTGAGGTATAATTAATATTAATATTTTTTGGCAGTATATTCTTAGCTTTATTTTGAGGGCAAGTTTATTGACATGATTTACATATGTAAAATTGACAATTTTTAGTTATATAGTTCTTGTATTGGTTTTGAAAAGTATATATAAAGTCAGGTAACCACACTATAGAGTGATTCTGCTAGCACAAAAAGTCCTCTTGTGCCTGGTTGCTGTCAGTCCTCTTTCCTTACCTCCCACCCATAGCAGCAAATGATCTGATTCCTGATTCTTTGCTTTCTAGAATGTCGTATAAACAAAATCATAAACTGTGCAACAATTTTTGTCTGGCATGTATTCTTTAGCAAATTGCTTTTGATACTTATCTGTGTGGCCATTTGTAACAATAGGAGCTTATTCCTTTTTTATTGCTGAGTACTATTCCATTGAATAGATGTACCATTCGATGGCAGACATTTGGGTTGCTTTAAGTGATAAATTTGGTGGTGATGAATAAATAAATCATGAACCTACATTCATGTGCAGGTGTTTGCTTTTCATTAATTTTTTGATAAATAACTGTGAGTAACATTGCTAGACTACATGGTAAATGTTTAATTTTACAAGAAACTGCCAGACTGATTTCCAAAGTGACTATAACCTTAGTAGTTTCCATGAACATAGTATTAAAGTTTCACCTGCTTTATAACCTTGCCAGTAGGTAATAATGTTAATTTTATCTGTTATTCTAGGTGTATAGTGATCTTATATTGGAATGTACATTTTAATTTGCATATCTCTAATGATTAATGACATTGAACAACATATGTTTATTTTTTAGTACATCTTTGGTGAATAAGTTTAGCACATTTCATGAAGTTTCTGTTCATATCTTTTGTTTGTATTTTATTTCGTTATTTAGTTGTATTCATATTGAGTTGCAAGATTATCTGCTACTTATATGT